TCGGTCCCTGCTTAACTGTGCCAACTCCCATTTATGCATGTACTAGGTTTTCGGTGCCTGTCGCCTGTTCCTCTCCCCCCCCTCTGCTTTTTCATGTTCAGTGGATGCTCCTCTCTGTTTCTCTGCCTCTCTTTCTCTATTTTTTTTTCTCCCTATTGTTCCCCGCGTCACTAACTGTCACTCACTTCATAAAGCCGTCTGGCTCGGAGCTTAAATATTGCAGGGCAACTAAAACCCACCATCAGAGCCAATTCAGTCATATCTGCTCAGTCGTGCGACAAGATTGGGACTTTTAGGGTAGGGAAGAAGAGAGACAAAAGTTCACTCTTCCCTGCAGAGTGCCAAGAGAGGAGGGGGACACATTTCTCCGGTGGAGCCTTTCACAGCGGCAAGTTGCTTGCTCAATGTCCTTAACCTATACAGTCTTTTTCGCTGGTAGCGTGCTCAGGTCGCAACGTCTGGAAGCGCAGGGTGGGGGTTTGCAACAAGCCCGTGTGAGTTAAGAACATGAGTCTGTTGACTCTGAGTGGGCTTAGGCAGTCTCCTGCTCCTTCCTCACGACAGGCAATTTAAGGGAAAAGGTGACTGCCTGAATTTATCGCTTGCACCTTTTTTGAAACTCGAGGAGCTGACTGCTTACAGGTGGAATCCTAGACATTTGAACTGGTTGTACCAGTCATCTTTAGTCCACCCAAAATTGTTCCTTGCAGTTGAACCAATTGAGCGACCTCGAACCACTTCACTTGCAGAAAATAGAGAGGATGGTCATGGCAGAGTTTTGAAAAACGTGACTAGTTCGGAAGTGATCGCAGGAAGAGTTTAGCCAAACGTAGCAAGCTGGAAGCAAGACATTTCATGGAGCTAGACAGGAAACATTTTTCCTTCTCTTGTACAGTGAATTTTCCGTATGATAAAGTTTATCACATCTAGAATGTCGCTCTTGCGTGCTGCAGTGGAAATGTTCAAATGGTAGCTGTGGATATCAGCGTGACTCACAAAGAAAGAAAGGGATGGAGTTAACCGCGGTGTCTGTGGGACAGTGAAGTTTATATTGTGTGTAGTCGTGTTTTTGACAGAGTTGCACATGATTGGTAACTGTCGGGTGTACTTTGCTCTGTGAATTTGCAGAAAGAGACTGTTTAAATCAGTTTAGATAATGTATGTAAACAGCATAATCTTCTGCTAGACTTGTTAATGTAAGTGCTGACATTAACACACTCTTCTACTCAACTTTAATGACTGAGAAAGTAGCAATTTTCTTCGGTGATTAAATTATATGTTTGCCGCTTACGCATGCAAGGTGTTTATGCAAGCTGAAGGACTGTGTTCTGTTCTTCATTTCCTAACATGGGTGTCTGGGCTTAAAATTTTACAAGGTTTGAAGGCAAGGAAAATGAGTCCATCTTGCTTTAGAAAAATGATATCAGAAGGATTTTTTTGGTTGAAAATTTGTGAAATTCCCCCGAGCCATAGAGCTCTCAATATTTTGTGTGTTTGTCTATGTGTGAATATGTACACACAGTAGTTGAAACAGACTGGTATGCGTTGGTGTGTCGTAACATATGGCATTACAAACATATCCCAGTGGTATCTGAAGGAGGAGGGAAGTTTAGATACTCAGATTTCCCTGCTGTTGACTGTACCTTCTTTTTCCCAGCACTTGTGAATGTGTGTCTGCATTTAGGAAACTATAGATGGAGGTAGTATGTAAGAGATGAACTTCTAGATCCCTGTGAACAGCTGTTTTATGAATAATATGTTCCCTGTTTCACTAGTCATTGTCCGCAAGTCGGTCTTTCTGGATCACTGTAATATTCTACATTCCTCAGAGACTTCAGACTTCTGTGATGTGTTAAATCAGCCCATCCCAAACAAGTTTCCTCTTTATTTCCCTCATTCATAGATTTTTCCCTTGCCTAAAATTATATAGCAGGAAGTTTAGGATATGCAGGATGAATTCCTGGCCTAGGAATAATTTCTTATAATGCAAAAATAACGATAGATGTAATGTTTGACTTGCCTGACTTGAAAATGGACTACTTTCTTAGCTTTCCATTAGGATATCTGCAGCTGGCTTCCAGCTCTGTGTTAGCCTCAGATAGCAGCATTGACATTTTGGAGAGAGAAAATAGTATTTTAGGTCCCAGTTATGGACCTTTGTGTTTTTCTCCAGGTTGGTTCCCATGTCAGTGTGGCAACTGACTTCAGAAGAGGATACAAAGAATAGCCCAATAACACCAAATAATTCTATTGCATGTAATACATATAGCAAGACTAGTATACTTGGTAGTTATTAAGCTTATACAGTATTACTAACATAGTAATGGTGTTGTAATTGCTATTCTTTCCTAAAAGAGTGATTTCTAATGTAGAATTATTATATGCAACCTAGAGAGAATTCAGGTTTGTGTAGGTGCAAGACGGGCACCAGTTCGAGATGTGTTTGACCCATGTGTGGTTCTGCTGCAGAAGAGCATGGGTGCTTGAAAGCTTCACTCTCTTTTCTAACCACTGCAGCCGCATGCTGATAAATCTGTTCTACAGTACTGCTGGCGAGTGTTTGTACGTGTACAAAATCTAAACAGGCTCACGCAGCTGAGCCTACAAAGCATTCTTACCTGGAAAAGGAGTTAAATATACTTCCCGGCTGAAAAGTAATTGCCCATTTACAGCCAGGGAAGAAGGAATTTAGCAAGCAGTTTGCTCTGGCTTCCCAGCCCTTCTCCTGCTAATAAATCATTGTGATCAGGCAAATAAGCAAGCGAGCAACATTCTTTCTGCTCTCAAAGCATATTAGGGAAATATTTACTGGTTAAAAGCAACAAAAGACATCAGTGGGAAAACCTCAAATCTTTTAAATTTAGCATAATTTGTGGTCATTCTCTTTCTTTTTTCTTTCCTTAGACAGTAAGAGATGGGTGACTGGAGTTTCTTGGGGAACATTTTAGAGCAGGTGAACGAGCAATCCACTGTCATCGGGAGAGTTTGGCTCACAGTGCTCTTCATTTTCCGCATCCTGATCCTGGGAACGGCTGCCGAGCTAGTGTGGGGAGACGAACAGTCAGACTTTGTGTGCAACACTCAGCAACCTGGTTGTGAGAATGTCTGCTATGATGAGGCCTTCCCCATCTCCCACATCCGGCTCTGGGTCCTGCAGATCATTTTTGTATCCACGCCTTCGCTAATGTACTTTGGGCATGCAGTGCACCATGTCCGCATGGAGGAGAAGAGGAGAGAGAGGGAGGAAGCTGAGAGGCGTCAGCAAGCTGAGGTGGATGAAGAGAAGCTGCCCCTGGCTCCAAATCAAAACAAAGGCAACAACCCTGATGGGACCAAGAAGTTTCGCCTGGAGGGTACCCTCCTGAGAACCTACATCTTCCACATAATTTTCAAAACCCTCTTTGAGGTGGGATTCATAGTAGGTCAGTACTTCCTGTATGGCTTCCGAATTCTCCCCCTTTACCGCTGTGGGCGGTGGCCCTGTCCCAATCTTGTGGACTGTTTTGTCTCCAGGCCCACGGAGAAGACCATCTTTATTATGTTCATGCTGGTAGTGGCTTCCGTGTCCCTCTTCCTCAACCTGGTGGAGATCAGTCACTTGATCTTGAAAAGGATCCGGAGGGCTCTGAGAAGACCAGCAGAGGAAGCGCTGGGGGAGGTCCCAGAGAAGCCCGTCCATGCCATCGCAGTCCCCTCCATTCCGAAGACCAAAGGCTACAAGCTGCTGGAAGAAGAGAAGCCAGTGTCCCACTATTTCCCTCTCACAGAAGTAGGAGTTGAGCCCAGTCCCCTTCCATCAGCCTTCAATGAGTTTGAGGAGAAGATTGGGATGGGACCGTTGGAAGATCTCTCCCGGGCATTCGATGAGAGGTTGCCATCGTATGCACAAGCAAAGGAACCGGAAGAGGAGAAGGTAAGAGCAGAGGAGGAGGAACAAGAAGAGGAGAAGCCAGGACCTCAGGAAGAGCCAGGGGTGAAGAAAGCAGAGGAGGAGGTGGTGAGTGATGAAGTTGAAGGGCCTTCAGCACCTGCTGAGCTCAACGCTGATATGAGACCCCTCAGCAGGCTAAGTAAAGCCAGCAGCCGGGCCAGGTCAGATGATTTGACTGTATGAAGGTGCAGGATATGGGCAGCACATGAAAAGGAAAAGGTTGAAAAGAAAAGGAGAGATAGAGAAAGAATCAAAAGATATTTTTAAGCAAAGTGCTAAAATGGCCATTTGAATATTATCTCCTCTTGAGATTCTCAACTGGAAAGGTACTATCATGGTAACTGTGCCTTATTTGCCCTGTATGTCCATTTGAAAAGGAACATTTTCCCTGTTTCCACATGCCAGCTCACTCCTTACAGTAATATCTACACTGTACACATAACTGATGTCTTTTAAAACCTAATGTGGCAGTGAAGTCCACATTTCACCACTGTGAACGTATTTACTGGAAGCTTTGTGTTCCACATTTCTCTAGGAACGTGGGGAAGATCTGTCTTTTCAGCCAGCAAGGGGGAAGACTGATCAACAACTGTATAGTATTTCTTTTTCTGTTTCCACCTCTGACATGCTGAGCTGATCTCCCCTTCACTGTTGGCATGGAATTGCAGTTATTTAATTCACAAAGTGATTTCTGTGCTTGGCATCAACACACTAAAATAGTAACCACTATTCCCCCTCTCTATTCAGAAAATAAAGGCCAAAGTGTCCCCAATTTCTCTGTGATTTCAAATCCAAGTTGGGTAAAAATATTTTCCCTTTGTCAAAAATATTTCTGCTCTTCAAGTGACATTGACAGTAGGCAAGGTTAACAGTAGCTCTCTGCTAGGATTTAGCAGATACCCACAGATGGATTATTTGTTCCCAAGAGGGTCATCCAGCCCCGAGCCTATTTCAGAGCACTGGAAAGAATAAATTCAAGTGATATTTTTTACTTGTAGTCTTGTGACTTAAAGATCTGAAACTCGATTTAGCAAAGCAAGCGTGGGAACGCTTCTGTGAAAGGAGGAAACAGCTACAGCCCCCAGAGCATGAAACCAAATATAAACCTTCGCGGCATGATCCTGACCTGTGCTCAGTTCCTGGAGCTCCCAGGCTTACAGGCACTCAGCAAATCTCAGGTATAGAGTCCTGAAGGCACCTGTGAACCTAAACCAGGGGTCTGGGTAACTATGTGACTATTTGAACCTCTAAATACAAAACTGGTTGTTCAAGTTTGAAAAGTTTGATATGATAATAGTCTTCTGACATGCTTTGTTTTTAATTTGACAGACGGAAGCCATCCAGTGGTCTACTTCTTTATTAAATGCCAAAGTCTCGAGTAAAACAAGGCCTTTCAAAAGATGATTTAGACCTTTTGTGTCAACAGGTCTGTACAGAACTCTCAGAGCCTCAGCAAATTATTTTTTTGTTCCAAAAGGCAGAGAAGCATGTGCTTGCAAACATTTAAATGTTTGTGGATTTCTAATTTTAGGACTACAGCAGCACCTTTTGGCTGGAAAAATGCAGCAATGTGTTCAAAAGCTTCAGGTTAACAGCTATGTCCCCCCAAAACTGAGCCTCATGCCAGAAAAAGTGCAGGTATGCACTCTCATCTGCTCTGCTCTGCAAACCTCAGACCCTGCTAGCTCAGCAAATTCTTTCTGCCGGGCTGCAGCCCATCCCATTGTTCCCAGGGCAGGCTCTAATCCAGGTCAGGAAAAAAAAAAAAAAAAAAAGTCTTTGGCACAATGCTTAACCATTAGCTAGAAAAGACCCCCTGCGGTCTCCCATTGCAGCGGGGCTGACTCCAAGCCCATTGAAGTCAAATGGGGGTCTGAGAGAGCTCTGGCTAGGCCTGGGCTCACACACCTCCAGTGCTGCAGCCCCGGTCCCAGCCCAGGCAGCCACCAGTACGGTCAGTTTTGTCACTCGCTGAGCTCACCCGTCTGCTGGAGCTCCCGTGCCCCGTTACGCAGCTGCCCTATAGGAGCGCAAAGGTGGCTAGATTTCACTGCTGAGTGAAGCAAGCTGTACATATGTAGAAAGTTTGTAGGGTGCTTTGGGATTCTTCAGCACCATAGCGGTGCTGCGTTTCTTTTTTTTTTTTATTTTAAATATACTGTTAATCCTTTTGCTCCTCTTGGGCCTGTGTATTTTCCCAAGGTTTGCAGCCTGAGGTCAAAATCTTTGCTCCCTGGACAAAGGCTGTCTTTCCTCGTGAAGGAAGACCAGGAGGTACCTCCTCAGTTTTGGGAAGGACTATGGCAAAGCAACACATGTGAAGGAACATGCAGAGAGAGAGACTCTGGAGGCTACTGTTTAGCCACTCTCTTAATACAGAAATAGAACAGTTACGGCAAATGAAAGGCAAGTGAGGAAAGAGAATGTTTTTCGGCAGCAAAAGGGTCCGCTGTGCCCAATATTCTACTAGAATTCAAGCAAGGGCAAAGATTTAGATCAACAGCAAAACCACCACACCTAGATGGGATTTTTTTTTACTTTCTTCACAGAAAGACATAAAAGAGTTTTAATGGTTCTAAGCATAAACCAGCCAACTCGTTGGAAACACACTTTCCTGTAGGTAAAAAAAAAAAAAATATCTCTGTAACGGTTCAGTATGAAGTATCTTCCACCTTCTTCAGAGCATCTGACCCTTCTAGATACCAATGGACTAATCAACCCCAGCCTTGTTTACTTTTAATTGCTTGACAAGTCCTTTTACATACCAAGTATTTTAATAACCATCCCCGTTCCTGACCTGATATGCATACCTTCATTAGATCATTGGACTAATGAAGATGAGCGCTTATTCATCAGCGGTACATGATTCATAATATGGCTGTCGGGTGGTCCAGTCTTTAATCATCAGATGTTGAGTATGTCATTCTCTTTCACTGGAGTGCCTCAGTAAAATGCACTACATGCAGAGTACTCAATGGACACTGTAGTTCTTTCACAGCTGCTGCAAGAAAGCTCATTTCTTCCTCTGGGTCACGACAGCACAACGAAACAAGCCAGCATTTTCTTCCTGCATCCAGTCAACTCCTTGTTGATTTTTTTTTTCAAGCCAGTTTTCAAGTACCCTGCCAGACGGCTAGCAAATCTGTAGCCACCAAGTACAAGCCATGGCATCAAGACAGCGCTTCTCGGCAAACTGGGCAGGGAACTAACGGTCTGGTCTTCTGGCATTCAGCCTCATCTCTGCAATGAAATCACTGTGGGCCTGTCAGCAAGTCGTGCTTCCTTCTTGTACAACTGGGAATAATTTTCTACCTCACAAAGACAATGATGTGAGGCTCGATATATTGTGTTAGTAATGGAATGGGAGGTCCTTGGATGGAAGGCCCTACAGATGAGCAAAAGATTATTGCTATTTCTCGATGTGATAGCGTATAAATGTGTTTTATTCCCTCTCAATGAGACAAATTTAATCATTTATTCAAGGAATTCCTAGTGAAGTTGCATAACAGCCTCAGAGCTGTGGATTCAGTGTATGGTTCTACTTAAAAAATAATTAAGCAAAACATAGATATAAATGTAAAGAACAGGGAAAAATATCTTCTTGGGAAGGGGGAAGTCACTGGACAATTAGAGCTGTGCCTGGATCATTTAATGGTGTGTGTACCCCCTTGGCTCCCCGTGCAAGTAAATTACTAACTGGCTCTCTGCAAGGAGCATAAGATGCAAGTGTCAAAATCACCAAAGGAGGTGAAAGTAGAAGAGAAAGGTAGTGTCTTAGCTTACAATAGCATGTGGGAGTTGGTGTTCTCTAGTGTCTAGAGCAGTGGACCTAGGATAATAATCTTAGATTTATTTCCAGCTCTGCTTCTGACTTGCTGTGATAATCACTTTACCTCTCAGTGCCTGTTTTCTCCACCTGTAAAATGGGTGTAAGAATTTCCACCTACCTCACAGGGATGTTGTGAGGCTTCCTTAATTCTGTTTGTAAAGTAAGTAGGAATGATCTGATGAAAAACACTGCTGAAACGCATGGTATCCTTGTTATTTCCTGGCAGAACTGCTAACTTGGTTAAAACATGTCTCCTCGACCAGAAGGGCAGTAGTTTGAAAATGTGAACACCGCATTGCACTGACAACATCACCACAGATGTGGATTTGCCATGAGTGCAAAAGACTCCGTTGATCCCCCTACCCCTTTCTCCCACCTTACCCTTGGCCTGGCCACGTGAAGCAGCGGTGACAGCGTGGTTACATGGACTCCTCCATCCCCAGCACCCATTCTGGGCCAGCATTTCTGCTTAAATGAGACGGTTCCTGGGGGAGGGGTGTGCAGGTTGGTGGAACTCTAGCAATTTTAAGGGCCTTGCAAGGCATGTGGGAGAGGGTTGTATAATGCACAATATTGCTGGGTTTCTGTTTGAAACCGCTTAGTACAAACACCAAGTAAATTTTCCAGAGTCTCCATGGAAGAGTTTACAATTGCTTATGGCACACAGAAAAAAACCCCACCTTTCATGAATGCAAACCCACAAATTATCCCTTTATACTGATTCTTTCCTCTAAGTGAGATAGATACCAACGATCTCTTAGCGCTGAAAACAGATTCCTCCTCCTGCAGGAGGGGAGAGATATGGGGGGATCTCTGCTCTCTAGGTCTGTGTGGGCATGCAGTCTACTTACTGAGGGAGGAAAGTCCAGTCTCTCCTGCCACTCAGTAACTCACTGACTGTGCAGTTTTACACTTAAAGAGCGGCCGTGCCACACAATGCTGAAAAAAAAAAGTGACAGTTTGCTGTTTTGTATAGAAAATGGCTTTTCAGGCTGACAACTGAAAGTAATCCTAGCCTAGGTGTAGTTTTGTTTAGTAAAGACAGGAACATCCATGAGAACTAGACTAAAGCCTTCCTACAAGCCCGAGGCAGTTGTGATAAAATGGTATACGGTGCCCGATTTCCTGAGGGGTGGGGTTGGATAAGAGTATCAGAATCAGGGGACTTGTCTGAGTATTGGAATAATGTTTTTTCCCCAACAGAATGATACTGCCATTTCTTAGGCTCTGTGTGTGCTACACTTTTTAACATGGCTCAGGAAAGGCTTTTTGCCAACACCAAATGTGCTTATACAGTTGAGCAGTAACCATGGCAAGTAAATGTGTGTTGACTTGCCAAGAGGTAGCCTGGCACACAATCCTTCCCTTGCAACTAGCTTGGCATGCACCTATTTCAGCAGAACCGGCAAGACTCGTGTCTCTGTCAACAATTCAAGTTTTTCTCTCAGCGGCTTGGTGTACAAAGAGACATTGAAGGTTTGTTCAACCTAGAGAGGAGGAGGCTAAGGGGGTGGGGAGGTTTAACTGCTGTCTTCAGGTACCTGATGGGGAGTCACAGGGAAGATGGAGCCAGG